TGGATGGAGAATTTCATCAAGAGGTGAAATCAGTTAGAGAACCATTGGAAAACCTACAGGGAGTACTAAACAGCTATTTCGTCTCAGTCTGGGCCTCTTCATCAGTATGCACCCACCAATGGGGTTCGAACTCAGGACCTTCTGGTTATAAGGCGAGCTAGCTCGTAAACCACTAAGCCACTGGGACCCGATCCACTAATGGCCAGCCCATGAATTCTAACTTCTGCCAATTCACAACTTAGCGCGACTACTTCGCAATGTCTTTTCCGACGAGTAACTGTCCTCACTCACCTTTGGGCTATTGGATCGGGACCCAGTGGCTTAGTGGTCTATGAGCTTGCCTTGTCACCAGAAGGTTCGAACCCTGTCGATGGGTGCGTACTGCTGAAGAGTCCCGAACTAGGACTATATGGACGGCTGTTCAGTACTCCCTTCCTGTTTTCCAATGGTTTTCTACCTGATATCGGCTCATGATGAAATCCTCCAAACGATAAACGGATTAATAAAGCAGTTCAGGAAAAAACGACAAAAAGTACAAGCCGTTTTTCACAACACCGTCTAAATCTTTCGATTACTTTACAATTAGAAAATACTACATAGTTGTTTCTTAGAAATTAGGTACAATCCTCATGAATAGTAAACTCCATTCTGACTCTGTGATAAGAAAATAAAACTGAAAATTTTCTGAACTTTTGAGGGCTAAGATTAGACTGATATATTTTATGTGTAGTAAATCCTGCAAGTCTCTTTGGTGATGATTTCTGACCTACAACTTTTCAGAGATGGAACACTGGAATTACAACGGGTTCGCCAGGTATCTCGATCGCCAGTGGGGGTGAAGAGACCTGAACTGGGGTGAAACAGCTGTGTAGTAAGTACTCTCGTGTTTTCTAACTTACGTCAGTTCACCACCTAACTTGAAAGAAATCAAGTGCATTCATCAGTGCACTCAAGTGCATTTCTCAGTCGGTGTTCAGACTTGAAAAGTTATTATTATGAAAACCAGTAACACGTTACAGTACAGACAGTTCACTTAACTTTTATATAACTTAACAAGAACTATTTGCATTACATAAAGATTTAGACAATATAAAGTCGTATCAATTATGAACATGTCACTAGGAACTTCAATTGGATACTAGGTAACAATTAGTGTCAGGAGTCTAAATCTCTGGTCGGTGTAGACTGAATTCTATCAATAAAGTTTGCAATGTGGCCACCATGCTAGGTGACACGCCACCATGGTGCACTCTGTACTGTTTTCTTGTTCTGCAATCGGCAGAAAGCCTTCGACCATCTAGGTCCCGTATTTGTTGGCACTCACCAGTCAGCAAGACGTATCTGCAATCACCTTGAAGGAACTCTTATGTCCCTTCTGAGACTCGAACCGGCATCATCCAGCGTTGTAGTCAGAGACGCTACCACTGAGCTGTTCGGGCTCCTGATTGATCTCTTGTGTATTAGAAACTTTGATTGCGTAGTAGGCAGTAACTAGTGTCATGCATCCAGTCCTTTGTTTGGTGCAGACTGGCATCCTACCGATTGCCTCCAACCACCTAATACTGCCAGGAAGCAGGGACTATCTTATCTCCTGAAATTAAGACAGTACTCATATTAATATAAGCAATACAAGAGCATAATTCCGTCTCAGAATAATTTTATTCGATGAGAAACATAGCTGTGTTGCTCATTCGCATATCTCCAAATCTTCTTTTATATGAATAACTTCATTATTTCTTGTCCTTGAATTTTATTTGATATTGATTGGTGTTGCGTGATTCCTATTGCGTGTGTTATGGGTGTAGATTCAATGAACAAGCATTTAGTGACCAACCTCTCTCCCTCCAACTATCTACATTACTGATGGCCTGGTCTCCATCATTATGTATTACATATAATTCCTCTTGATCACTTTGTCTTCATTCTACTGGAATATGACTTCTCATAGTGTTTTCTACTCTGACGAGTATTCAGAATGCACACAACTAGCTGATTCACAAGATTCTACTAAACTTGAGAAACAAACGTGGGTATACAAGTTGCCACTGTCTGAGAAACAAAATCTAATTACTCGCAGTCTTCAATTATTCAGCTATTATTATGTGTTCTTGAATCTAGAAATGTGCACTCCTGTACCTTTTTCTAATTGGTCTTCAACCACTAGCAAATGTTGTACACTCCTCGAAGAAGGCAAAAAGAAAAAGAAATATCATAAGGGATTGCATTTAGCTTCAGATCAGACAGTTATGTGTGTCAATTACTATGTTATTTCAAGATCCTGGACAAACAGAAACTGTTATGCAATAAATCTCCGCTGAAAATTCGGTACATTACTCTTACTCGTCAGAATAAAGCTGTTATTGTTATTACTTTTTAAAATAGTGGATCTGTCACCGCCCAGCCCCCCCCCTACCGTGTGTGTTCAGTGCTCGTAACGGGTCATCAGTAGATGAAACGATATTGATGTGTAATTCTCATGACATATAAAAATAATCTATATACGGAATTATACTACTACTCTCTACTCTGCACAATACCCAAATCTAATTCTTATATTAATAATACAAGAGCACTTGATAAAACTTACAAAAGTAGCGATTGTTAAATTCCCCTACTATTTTGAAAATAATTAGGAACGGATTCCAGAGGTTACAACATCACGTGAGGACTGCGGGGGGGGGTGGGCGGAGGATTACACTTCATGAAGAGTATTCATACGCCTTTTGGCACCAGTCTGCACAAGCAAAGAATATAACCCATCAACCAGGTAAGTATTAAAGATCTTTACACTATCAGTGGCGCAGAGGTGGTCCGGAGGTTCGATCCCCGGCCGACGCACTCCTAAATTTCGCTTAACTGGTAATAAGCTCGGCAAAGAGGGAAGGTTGGGCATGGGACGTGCTACCGAAACTTTAAAGTTCTAGCTCGAAACCCTTTGTTCCACTGAGAACGTACAGAAATAAAAAAGTACTATTAATGATGACTGTGAAGCTAACCAACCAGTAGCCATCCTGTACTTGTAGTAAGCACAAATTAGCCGACTGAATCGACGTATTAACCAATGTGAAATACAGTCACAGATTAGATTATCATTCGAAGTAGGCAGATTAAAAAAACACGCTGACGAGACCCTTTACTTTACTTCGGCTATCTCCTACGGGAGGATGAGCCGGCTTCATGAACATGAGTTCATGAAGTTTCATGGGAATTTGGTACGAGTGATGTCCCCAGAATCGCTCGGCCTTTTGTTTGAGAGTGCAGCTCTAGCCTTTACACAACTAAGTGTGACCTACAAGGCAGTAGGAGTGGAGTAGGGAGTCCACTATCCATTGGCAGCCGGTGACCGGAGTTCGGTTCATACGCCTTTTTGAATGGGGCCAGACATCCAGGACATCCAACAAGCCCTTTGTCCATACGTCTGCCGGCGAGCTTCATACGCCAGTCGTTGGAGGTTTGGAATCAGGGTTTAGCCATCTCCCCTAGACTGTCATCCAATGATATTGCGCGCCAGACCCCTGAGTGGAACGCGATTGGAAACGACGCGACGAGTTGAGCATAATTCCGAAGGTGACATGGAGGAGATGAGAGCCTATGGGCAATTGTGGAGTCAGTTAAAGAGGACTGCAATGAACAGGACATAATGGAGGTGTGTCGATGAGGCCCAGTGTTCCACTCGGAACCCAAGGGAGAATACCAACAACAACAACAATAATCTATAAACCAAAAAAAACAAAGTTCGGCTATTTATCGTCAAATGGTGGATAGAATACCAAGACCAGTTGACGCTTAGACACGAACTGCTCCCAGAATCTTTAAGTCTAGGAATAAACACTCCTTAGATATACAGGAACAACACCCCCCCCCCCGGCCCATCTCAAAACAACATACATAGATAAATAAATAAACAAATGAAGGCCGTCAACATACTTTTCTTTTTTATCGTAGTAAAAAAAAAAGAAAGAGAGAACATACAACAACTTCCATATTCACATACATAATCAATCTCCAATGGGACCTAATTATCTTCGTATTTTCAAACTGCTCCTTAGTGTCATACACACACACACACACAGATATTCATCCAAAATCAGTAGGTAGAGAGTGAGATCGAGAGAGACAAGCTGACGAAATTTGTTTGTTTTGACGAAAAGTACAAAATACTGTTGTGAAGTGTGTCGGAAGCATTGAAGTGTTTTGCAAACTAAGCACACAATCATTATTAAGATGCATACATACACACACGCACACACACACACACACAAACGACTGTCATGCTGGTGTCTTCTTCAGTCAGTTGATTGGTTATTTGATCGACTGATTGAATCATTGATTGAGCAGTTAGTGTTAGTCATTACCTAACTCAGTATACATCATATCATATCATAACATAACATAACATAACATAACATATCATAGTATGCTCGCGCTCATTAGAACATTGTTTTTTTGCATAACCTAAAGAAAATTCGTCATAGATTGTCTTTCATCGTCGTAACAAAGAATTGGAAGAAACAATTTTTTTCTAAAAAAAACAACAGAGAAGTGGAGGAGGAGGACGAGGAAGAAGAAGAAGAAGAGAAAGCCGCGAGAGAAATCATCAGAGAGAGAAAAACACAAAACACATTATTAAGTGACATTGATTGCAAAGTCGTCAATTTACAAGGTGGTGACTGTGAAGGAGGTGGAGGGAAGTAAAGAAAAAGGAAAATAGATAGATAGATAGATATATGTACATGTGCAGTTCTGCTTCTTGGTTTATGTTGTAGTAGTAGTTGTTGTAGTATCTCTAGAAAACAACACACACACACAAGAAACAAGTGAATGCATGATGATTATTGATTGCATTAACAAAAAGAAATGCAATTCAATGCACAGTCTATCTGCCCGTCGTCTCAGTGTGTATTATATCAACCTGAAAGAAATACTGAATATTAAGAAGCACAAAAATTATGTGAAAAGACATAATATGTTGTCATTTATTTTTATTTACTTATTTCACCCTAAGGAGATGATGGATTGAGAAGAGTACAGCTAGTGGGTAGACGAACTTCAGAACTACCACTTACAGTTGTATCTTTCTTTGGTGGAGATTTTGAATGTTGTTGTTGTTGTTGTGGTTGTTTACTATTATTACCGACACTAGAAGCTGAATGAGGAGTTTTCTTCCGCCTGTTCAATGGTATAGTAGTAGTAGTAGTAGCAGTAGATGTAGGCGGGGGGGTTTCATTCAAGCCAACTTCACTACAACGACGGCTACAAGCAGTGGAGTTCGATGATGAATCGCGTTTTTTGTCGGCCAACTTACTCTTCCGCAGTAATTTATCCTCTGACTGACATTCAGCGCTTGATGATGAACCACCGCCGCCACCACGACTACTGCCGTTCATTTCAAGATTAGGCGAAGACAAACGATTCCCTGTTTGACAGATTGTAGAACTTGAGGCAGAGGAATGATTTGCTGAAGATGGATCAAGTGATGATAAAGGAACTTCACTCGGCAGACTGGATAAACAACAGCCAAAATCTGATGATGAAGGGATAGTTTCTTGTTCAAAGTTTGAACAATGTGCGTCAGTGGTAAGCTCCTCTGTTACAACATTGGAGTTAACCGTATTCTCAGTAGTTGCTGTATAATCGTTACCACTACCAGACGTAGCAACCACAAGGTCATCATCATCATCATGTGAATTATTTTCAATCACTGTAGCCTGCTGACAAGGCATAATATCACTTTCTGAAGAGTTGATAGAATTCATAGAACATAATTTTTGTCCTTCACCATTAGACCAATCCTGTGTATTACACGATGATACAACATTATCAGTTGTTATTAAATTTGATTGACATGTAGACGATGTTGGCGGTGGCGGTGGCGATGTGTTGTCAACTGTTGAATTAAACGACATTACTTGAAATTCAGAAGTCATTAGACTAACAGCAGTATTCAAATTTGTAGTTTCTGGCATAGAACATTGTAAATTTTGTACCTGACATGCAGCACTGGGTATATTGGAAGAAAGAATTAACTTTTGATGACTACTAACACCACTACTACCACTACTACTACTACTGCTGGCTGGATAATTTGCTGATACAGACCCCCCATTCGATGCGGCGGCTGCTACTGCTGCTCCTGCTAATGATGACGATGATGATGACGACACTGATTGATAGAGACCACCACTACTAATTGGTGCTGGTGGTGGTGGTGGTGTAGGCGTTACAACAACCATTTGAGAACTGTTTGCCACTGTGGGAACAGTCTAGAAGAAAATTGAAAAGCTTTGAATCAAATAAGGCTGGGGGAAAAGCAATATTAGAATAAACAAAAAGAAAAGTGTTGGCAAATGCAAACAAAATAACTACTTTCAACTACTGTTCCTGATTCTGATTATAACAACGCTTAAATCACCATCAACACCAATGAATATTTTGATCAAAGGGGTTATAAACCAGATTGAAATAGACTTGGGAAGCTGACACACACAGAGAGAGAACTGCTGATCTTCAGAGCAAATCAGCTACGACGTTGAATCCAAATAAAACTTGATAAATTACGCAGTGTTTGAAATTGTGATTTAATGACTACAAACAAGTCTGGGATGATGATGCATCGCAGATGCATACATAGCCTTACTACTAGGGTATGTTGAAAAAAGGTGAACTTGCTATGGAATTTTTGGACTAGATGATATTTTACTGAATATACCCTAGAAATATTTTTCTCTACCTTTCACCAATATGACTGACCGACTGACTAGTGGTTTCAACATAGAACTTTGCACAGAATTGCACCAATTCGAATTGCCCCACACTCCATGCAACACACGAAGGTAGACAAAAGGGAGAGAAAACAAAAAGATTCAAAAAGCAAAACAAAACAATAATAAGCAGAAATGTGAGGGGGGAGGGAGAATAGTAACATGGAAAAACAATAGGGTATAATGGATATTGGGGATCACAAAGAATCAGTGCACCTGCGCTAGCCACTGAGAACAACCTCGAGCCATACCACTGATTGTCTCCAGCCTTTATTGGTTCTTACCATTCCGAGGATCCTAACCAGACAGCCAGGAAGTCTACACTTCCGTACGTGGCTAGCTTTAAATAACTGCTAAAGATTTCATGGACTGATGTTAAGTCTTGGTTTGACCACCTGTAGCTCTTTTTCAACCAAACCCCATGTCAGCTAACATTGCCCATTTTCGAGGAAAGCGATAGCTAGGCATACGTGACACATTTCGTAATCATCTCAATCGATGTGACTTCACACCCTCCTTGACTGTCTTTCGCTCCTTACCTAACACTCTGCACCTAAAATCAATATTGCTCACTATATTATACCGTCTGAAATGGGAGATAGAATGCACAAACCTATGATCAGAAACGGCTAGCCAGGCTTTTTGTCTCTTCCATTTTCAATGGCCATGTCTCCCACACAACCATAAAGGAGGACACAGCATACTGACGCGCAGTACACACTTCCTTTGATCGATAACCAGCCATATATCACGTCTTCGCCAGAGATGGAATGAGTTGGTGAATGCCACCCGAATCTTTTGTATCTGTGCTGAGATTTCATCAGCGATCAACCTGTTGGCGCCGGCTGAAGCAACTCTTCAAATAAGTGAAGTGGTTAACACGCTCCCCCGACCACTTCACCCCCTATCTGTAAGCTAGGTGGCGTGGCTTTAGGAGACTATCGATGGTGGGTTTTTTGGCTTCCGTCGTTTTCAATGCACACAGAGTGAAGAGGAAGTGAAGAGCCATCAAGTAGAGGAGTTGCATTAGTAGAAGGAAGGCAAGATAATAGAGATGAAGATGGAGACAAAGATGAGTGAGGATTAGAGAGGTTTCGCGTGCACTTCGGATTGTGAGGGCGATTGTTACTTCCCAGCTGCCCACACCGTGGAAGTTGGGTGCGTGACCGCAGAGCCCAAGGGACAAATGCTTGAGGCCAGTCACACACGGTCTGTTTTTGTTTTTTCTTTTTCATTTGGTGTGTCTCAGTAGCATATTTATCCCTTCTGCCCTGTGACAGGGCAGCAGGAAGCGCGGTCGTTGTTAATCCGGGCCCCGACCGATCCGGCATGATATTTTGTGATTTTGTTTGAGTCATGGTATTGGATTGGGTAGCTGCTTTTTGTCTAATCGCTATCCAAACAACCTTTCTGGCATAGTAGGACCTCAAGCGACATAAGTCTCAGCCAGTATAGCTTGTTGGGTCATTGCGGTGTTCAAGCCCGACCACCACGTCAAGGTAGCAGCTTTCGGTCGGGCTGTAAGCTAGGAGTCGACATAGTTTAGTGAAGTCCTGTAGCATCACCTTACATTTTGACAGAAGTAAATCGAATGCCAAACATTCGAAAACTGCAGCTCTTCAAGGTGTTCAGAAGGCTCTGATGACTCACTATGAATCATGTCAGAGATTAAAATACAACAAAGACATAAACGTATAGTAAACACCAAAATAAGAGACTATTTACAGGAATTTGTTGTGACTGTTGATGATGGACATAAGATAAACCTCCTTGATAACTGGAAGTCGTCGGTGACCCGTATGTTGTCAGTGACTGAAAAGTTCCATGTGCAGATTGAGAGGTGTTTCCATTTGCTGTATAGATGGGTGGATTGTTAGCAGAATGGCTTCCAGATTGAACATTAATACACGATTTAGAACGATTAAACGGTGAATCATTGTAACCGGCAACAACTGTAGCAGTCTGATTCGCCGGAAGTGCAGACGGTATTCCGACCAAGTTAGCACGATATGATGTAGTAGAGACATTTTGATGACAGTTACCTCCATTTGGAAATGATGCGTTACCAGATGGACCATTCTGTAGCAGAGCTGAAATGCAATACAATGCAATGACAAAAAGATGTGATTGGTTCGAGTGAATGGAAAATTGCGAAAATTAGGAAAAAGAGACAAGTTCACTATAAACTACTGTGATTACAATAAATCACAAACAAAACTCACCTGATGAAAGCAAAACATTACGGTTTTGTGAAGAAACTCCTGATGAATGAAGATTCGGTACAACAACAGGAGTCTGCTGTAAAGGTTGCACTAATTGTGCAGTCAAAGGGAGCTGAGGATTGAAGGAAGGCTGTTGCGCCTGACCTAACGCTTGTAGGGAAGCAAGACCTGGTAAACCATGAGTTGTGCGATTTATATGACTACCGACAGGGATTTGTGGGTGCAAACCAGCGGCGGCATCAGCGGTAACCAAAGCTTGTGGATTAGAAGCAGCATTACGACGCTTGTGATCTGCTTTGTCAGCCAATTTGCAGGTTATCGGTTTATCACCACCTCGGACAATATGTTTTACCTCATTCATCTGTCCAACTGCTTTTTCAGCTTGTCCAGCAGTGGCAAACCGAACAAAACCAATCCCTGAGAAGCAAAGTAAACAAAAAAACACGAATGCAGCAGTTACGCTAATGCTTATAGGATGATTTTTGGTTTGAAACAGAAGAAACAGACAGATAAAAGACCCAATTTGGAAGTGATAAGTGCCTCTTTCAACCTTATGATATTAAATATAGCTACGGGATAACTGATTGCTCATTACAAAATGTTTTCCTCCTATTAAGCAATAGGAACTATATATGTACGAGACAGCATGACTAGACTGGGATTCCCATAGAGATGATGTAATAGGAGATTTAATATATGACATGAGAGCTGTCTGCTAGCCAAAATTGGTAGACAGCTATTTACGTCAATGTTTACGTCCCTAAATCTTGGTCATGAGAAAAGAACAAGAACAAAGACTAACTCAACAACCAATCACAGCAGACCTTGCGTGGGCGGATACGATTCGCAGATACATGGTCTGACCTTCTAAGAAACGGGCACAAAAAGGTGACAGATTGACTTTCAGAAAGAGAACAACCAATCAGAAAACGGCATTTCTCTGCTAACGATAACCTATAATAATAATGTACATAAAAATATATAAATATCTGTTGATTTTCTCAATAAACGATATATTGCCTGGTCCTTGTCTTCTGTCGTTACACTACTACTATTATAGTGTACGTGTAAACTATATATTATGAAGAGGAAAAGAAAAACTCGGCAATTTTGTTTCACTGAACATACTACCCAAGTATAACCACATGGTACTTTAGTATTAACGAGAAAAATAGCAAGTAGTAGTATGATTGAGGACTAATTTTATTAAGAAAACATGCATAAATCGTGCATGAGTATGTGTAGACTTTTGTCGTGGCTAAAGCGGCTTAATGGTTGATAGACAGTCACAAATTAATACTATCTGATAACTGAAACAGTGCAACGGGTGCATTGAATATATTAAGAACTTAGGCAAGTTTTTAAGTGGAGAGGTTATTCCATTGATAAAACACAAAAACATGGTTTGTAAGGATTAGTTATGTTTTACGAATCCCAGTGGGTGCGTACTGCCGATGATTCCCAAACTAGGATGAAACAGCAGCTGTCCAGTACTCCCTGGTTTTCAATGGTTCTCTAGCTGATATTAATCCGTGATCAACTCGCAAAACAAAAACTTGGTACACACTATTGGCACCAAGAGATGCGGTACACAAAAACTTTCGTAGTTTCTCCAAGAACTAGGATACTGCCCGGACACCCAGACTAAAACACACGGCTGTGTTAGTGAGCCACCCTCCACCACCACAAGTCTTCGACTTCAAGTCTGATCCACAAGGTACTGAACCAGCGTCACGCACCGCTGCGTTCCCATGGTTTCCAGTAATCAAAAAACAGGTTTATACACTATTCGATCCATTCGGATTCTCGAGCCCATGTACACTGTAAGTTTGGAATCAGGGTTTTTCGGGTACTCTAGGTAGACACCTATATATGTCTACACCAGTCAGTTAGGTTGTAAGCAACAGACGTTTGAATTCACCCTTTCACATTTTGTAAGGAACATCACCTCCAGCGTGAAGGCAGTGTGAATAGGACTTACCTACCTGGCATAGGCTAGTGTCACATGGCCATATGATGAGTGCATTTCGAGAAGAGGACCGAAGTATATCCCTACACGCTCAGCTGTACCAGGTTGTCGTCGTCTATGAAATACTTGAAAATCACCATTTACACAACTTTTCAATATGCAATAAACGTAGAAAGTGTCCGGAAAATAGAGTAATGTAAAGAACTGGGTCTCAGAGCCGCAAAATTTTAAATAACTCCCAGAATCGACAATACACTTTAGACAGAGGTTCAATACAACTTAGAAATTATTCTACCTAAAGATACATACAGTTTGCGGTAAGATGGAGAAACAAAAAGAAAGGGGAAGATTTTTCTTCGAAATGCCCCTCCCTACACCTACCTGTGAAGCCAGTAGACGTTTCAAGTAGTTTAACTGACGTAACATGTCCAAACTTTTGAAATAAATTCTCTAACATTTCTTTTGTAAAACCTTCACGTGGAAGATTGCGGACATAAACATTGAGAAGATCTTTTTCATTTTCATAAGCATATTTTACTGACAGCTTGCGTCCATTATTTTTAGCACATTCTAATATATGAGCTTTAGCCTTTTCAGCATCTTCTTCAGTTGCACAATCAATGAAGCCGGAACCTATGGAGATTAAAAAGAAAACAACAAAAAGAAAATAACAGTTTTATTATATATATGCGATGTTTTGTGAACACATTAAACTTCGCTGAAGCGTTAATTTTACAAACAGATGAGTGATAGGGTTAAATTGTTTAATAGCACACGGTGAAAGTAATTGCTGATGACACAGTAAGAGAGATTTCTTAATCATTATTGGAACTAATTCTTTTTGTTTTTACTTTTTCCAGTTCCCATAGATGTATGTAGATTGGCACGATCCAGTACGTTCGGGAGTGGGTAGACTTCGATCATTCTTTTGGAATGTTCTCATGTGGCCACACTTTCATAGTCTACCTCTGCCAGGTAAGTGTAAGTCCTCTTCACACTGCCTTTACACGGCGGCTTCGGTTGTTTCCTCATAAGTGTGAAATGGCGAATCCGAATGTTTGGCACTTACAATCTGACTAACTGGTGGGCGTACAGGCGCCTACCTAGAGTGACTGGAAAACTCTAATTCCAAACCTATGTTGTGTACATGGGCTCCAAAACCAGAAAGGATCGAATGACGTATGGGCGTGTTTCGATCACCGGGAAACATGGGAATACAGCTCAAAACACTGTTCCACTGCCTTGTGAGTCAGACTTGAAGTCGAAGACTAAGGGGGAGCCTCTTAAACACAACGACCTACTTTGGCATGGTTGTCATGCGGTATCCCAACCATCGTAAAAACTATGGATGCATCTGTTGGTGCCCATAATGAATTGAGATTGTATTTTAATATTAATAATTGTTATTATAACACGACTACAGGTCACTGTTATTATTGCTTCAAAGGTCTCACATTTAGCATAAACTTCACACTCCCTAAAAAGTTATATTGGAATTTTTTGGTTAAAATATTTACATCAATGACTAACTATTTATTAATGACTTAATGAATTCCCTGTTGCGTCAAATGACTTACTGAAGATGGAGGATTCCATCATGAGCTGACATCAGTTAGAGAACCCTTGGAAAATCTACAGGGAGTA